ACATCACCGCCCGCGGTGGTGCGGACAGTTTCCGTGGGGGCGTACCCCACCACGAAAGTTACTCCGCAGGTGCGGCCAATTTGTAGACGCACCTTCATCAGCCTCGGGCTAATGCACTCCACCGTCCTACCTTCCTCGCCCACACTCTCCCACATGGCCTCCTTGATCGCTATGCCCACACCGTGTACGCCCCTCTTGTCCTTGGTGCCAGCACGGGCGCCACTCCAAATGATCACGTACCCGTCGTGTGCAATTGAACCTTGCCCCGCTCGTCGGGTCTCCTGAAGTCCTATCACATCACAGCCGGTCGCGGAACAAATCTGCATGACCGTCATCACGTTGTGACCGATGGGGTTCCTACCGCTGTAGGCGAGCGTGCGTACGTTGAACGTGCCGAACGATAGGTCGCCCTCTCGTGCCTTCTTCTTCGCAGCTGCCTTGACGGCCGCTGCGGTCTCGTGTCTCTCTCGGTCCACCTCGCGTTGCGGGTGTGCTTTCTTCCGTCTTTTCCGAGCGGCGAGTTTCCTCGCATCAATCCATCTCTGCAGAGCTCGGTTCTTGCCTGTGGTGTTTTGACGAGGAGGGTGCAGCACTCCCTCCCCGCGGTGCCCGCGGTCGTCTCCCTTCTCCCGCGAGCGGTGCTTACTGACGTGGTGTTTACGAATCTCTCTACTCCTCCAGCTTCGTGGGCCACGCTTTCCGCGACGGTGGTTGCCAGGTGCAGTTTGCCGCTTTGCATTACTGCGGCGGGAACAGTGTCCATACACACCTCTCGCCACTACCACCGTCTGTGTGCATCCTCACCGCCACGCTGAGCCAGCGCGGCGGTGAGTTGCACCTTGGGACACCACCCGCCTNCCGTCGTCTGCCCCTCTGGCCCCTATCCTCCACTTCTACTAGCTAGACGACCCAACCGGGGTCACATAGGAGGGGGGGGCTGGACCCCCTCCTGCGGTTCATGCCTGAGGTATTTTTATTTGTGGTGGTCTGGTTCGCCCGCGAGGGACTCACTAGGTCGATTTTGGCCCCGGCCGGGGAGCAGGCCTGTGTAGTACACGGTATGTGCGGCACACGTTTTGTTCTGCGGGTTTTATGCTAGAGCGTTGGGCGCCGGGATTGTGTGACCATTTGATGTCTGGGTACAAAATAGACCTCTTCCGGGTACACCAGTAACCATTATCGGTCACACCAGAGGGTCCTAATTCCAGCGGCAGTTGTACCCGGTGGNTTGTGGTGGTCTGGTTCGCCCGCGAGGGACTCACTAGGTCGATTTTGGCCCCGGCCGGGGAGCAGGCCTGTGTAGTACACGGTATGTGCGGCACACGTTTTGTTCTGCGGGTTTTATGCTAGAGCGTTGGGCGCCGGGATTGTGTGACCATTTGATGTCTGGGTACAAAATAGACCTCTTCCGGGTACACCAGTAACCATTATCGGTCACACCAGAGGGTCCTAATTCCAGCGGCAGTTGTACCCGGTGGAGGTTTCTTCCGACATGGGTACAATAATTTTTCGGCCAATCAGCTCATAGCCTTGGAGTGCAAGGGTGTTGATTTCTAATTGTACCCTAAAGTGGTGATAGAGTACCCGGGTATACCCGTTGCTAGTTGGACTATCGGTCAAAAAGTGACATCGAAGTAAAAAGTTGCTTGTGGTCTGTGTGCTCTGTCATCACAGATTGCGCACGCCGATCGCTCGTTCTCTACATGTAGCAAGTGCACGATGTGCGAACGTCATCAACAGCTTCCAGCCTATGACCGAAGTAATGCAGGACTTCGTCTACATAGCACGAAGTTAAAATGAATGTAACACATTTTGTGCGGAGATCTATGAATGATGAGCGAAGTATGAGGGCGGCTGAAGAATCGTCAGTGTATCTGGGAAGAATAATTGTACCACGGAGCGGAGTACGGACCTTATCTGCATGCTTGTAGATGTACATAGTCTAAGGCTGTAGGTTCGTTCGTGAAGAAACAACAGCAGTGTTTCCTGCAGTCACCTGAACGCTACGTCAAATCGATACACAACTACTTTCTATCTTCAACCCAAAGCTTCAACCTGTGGAAGAACTACGATCGCGTCGTTTTTTGAACTACCATATCTCCAAGTCCCCCGTGTCTTCACAGGAATATGCGCTAAATTCCCCACCACAACAAATGTATGCAGAATTGGGTCTGAAACAACAATAACAATTGACACTGCTGTTCGTGTAACCGATTTAAACAGGACAAACTATACATGGGGTGTGATTTCAATAATTATTTTTCAGATTCGGGGAGTACATACGGCGCCTTCCGGTATATGCCGGGGAGGGGTTGAGATTGATAATGTTGCCAAACCACCTAAGCTCTGAAAATTCAGTCGTGGGTTGCTGTCGGTGTGTAGATGCGATATTCGGTCTCAGATTTTTAATCCGGGGTCGGGAAGGTGGGTTTTCAGCGAAACTTGGTGATTTGTCTTACTCAATGTATAGGGAAACGCAAATCAGGGGACACGAACTTACTGTCCCCCCCAGGGACAAAACGGGGATTTGCCCATATCTTGCCCATAATAAGCGCTTTTTTGACCGCTGTTCCGGTGGAACAAACCCTACAATGTTTGCAAACTTTGCTGGCCACTTCCGACCAGGGGCAACGAACTTTATGTCCCCCCCAGGGGACAAAACGGGGATTTCCCCATATCTTGCCCATTTTATCGCTTGTCAGACCGCTGTTCCGGTCGAACAAACCCTACAGTTTTTGAACATTTTACTGGCCAATTCCCACCAGGGGACACGAAATTTCCCCCCCCGCCCGGGGGGAAAACGGGGATAGTAAAGGGTAGCTCACAATACTTGCAAACGTTGCGTTCGATACCACACCAGAAAAAGCAAGAAGAACAACAATCGTCGACGGATGGTTGGCAGCCAACACATGCATCCATCCCTAGCCCACCTCCGGGAACCTCTTCTTCGCGATACGTACGCGACCTCTTGAGCTTACGTATTGCGCTTCCTCCCGCTCCCCCTCCTCCTCCACCTCCTCCTCCTCCTCGTCGTCCTCCTCCTCCCCCTCCTCGTCCTCCTCCTCTCCCTCATCTTCCTTCTCCCCTCCCCCCCCCACCTTTCCCATGCTCTCGTCAAGCGTAGGCGCCACTAGGGACTCGCCCGAATATATGACCGGAAGAATAACGCCGGTCAATTTAGTCCCAAGCGTGCGTCTCCCAACCATCTCTTTTCCCGACTTCTCCATCACCTCGCCAACCAAGTCGGGGTACACCTTCGCTACCATGCAGTCATCGTAGCAGCCTATTCGGCAAGTCGAGCAGTAGCACGATGCGCCCCGAACCCGCAACTTCCAAGATCTGGTGAACTTCTTGGGGGCGGCCCATTTCTTCGCCCTGGACTCGTCTACCGCCCACTTCCGAGCCGTCAACACCTTGTCTCCGGCCGCTCCCACCACAAAATCGTCTGTCTGCACCCCCACACTAGTAGCCCACACAAGCCTATAGGTATCCTGCACCTCCCCCTGCTCCTCCTCTGTTCCCGGGATTCGTTGCGTCATTCCGCGTCTTGCGCTCGTTGTACACGTAGCATCCCTCACTCGCAGCGATCTTGGGGGCGATGTCGTGGTTCGTGTTGTGCATCCGCCGCCGTGCGTCCCTGAAAGTCTCGTGCCGAATGCCGAAACTGTTGGCTCGCTCGGCAAGGCTCATTCCACCAGACTCAACGGGCTTGCACCGCTGGCCGGGGTGGCACACGTCCGTGTCAGTACACGTGTGCTCTCCCGCTCCGGCTGCTACAGCGAGCGCTGTCTGGTAAGTGGTCCACCCTATCGAGCTGTTGCAGTGCTGCTTCAGCGCTTGCAACGACGCGCGGAGTGCACGAGTGTTGGCCGCGTCGATCGCCGCCACCTTAGCTGCTGCCTGCTCTGCCGCGCCAGCATCCAGCATGGCCCGTACTCGCTCCATCAACACGGGGTCGTTCTGCATCAAATCCATCGCGCTGGNCGTGGTGTTTATTTGTCGCTCACTCATGTGTTCCCCCGTCTCCTCCAATAACTTCAACACGGGGTCGTTCTGCATCAAATCCATCGCGCTAGCGCGACGCTCCTCCGCAACCTGCGTACAACGTATCAGTAATTATTGGAGGAGTCGGGGGAAC